TTTCTTCAAAGCATCTTTTTTTTTTACACCACATTTTCATTACACAAAAGTAGATGCACTTCTGTCCCTGAAGCAATTCAGTGCTTCTGCAACTTGGGCTCCTGCTGGCTGGTGGAGGTGGTGGTGGTAGTGGTGGTGACAGTTTGTGTGGGCATTCATTCTACCCAGCTTACCAGGTGCCGCGGTGTGTGGCAGGTGCAGGGCTGGCCACGGAGGCACAGGAGACAGCAGAGTGGACACGTCAGGTAAGTCACGGCAGATGTGGAATTGCACAGGTAACCTAGACGGGCAGGTACAGTCCGCTGGCATTCAGCCCCAAACTCCAGTTCTGTTGTGCTAAGATTCCGAATGTGTCACTAATCACGGCGGATTGCGTCCTCAGCGGCCACACTATCTTCCTCTTCTCTCCATATGTGTAGTTTCTGGCCCACACACCCCATCTGATCCTGAGAGTTGCATGAAGCAAGAGACGCCACGTGACTTCAGAGGGCTAGTGGCTTGTGCTCCCTCTGTACGGAAAGTTCAGCTACGCAGGGACGGTCACACAGTGAAGAACTTGTCCCAAGCTGTTCGTGTCCCAGTGGACACAGACATCCCACTGGAGAAGCCTCCCCAACTCCCTGTAGACACTGTCAGGGAGTCAAGGCACCGCTTAGCCGAAGTGAGCCCAGGTTGTAAACTTGGGATAATGGGCAGTCTGCTGTTTTAAGTTCTTCAAGTCTGGAAGGGGCATTACATAACACAGGGCCTCTTACCTAGTGCTTCCTGGGTGTCCCTTCCCTGTGTTCTGGACACCTTAAAGCCTTGGTAGACAATGCTGTCAGTACCTCCCTACCCCTTCTCCACCTATGTGGTAGCATTTTCAACTACCAGGTCTTGGGAAGCCTCCAGCATCCTGACATACCCATCCGTTGGGGCGATCCTGTGTTTTGATTGGTTGGTGCAGCATAGTGCCAGCCAAGGCTTTGAGTAGAGTTGGTACAGGGCGTTGGATCTCCCCAAAGAGGCTAAGGAAGGAGTCTTAAGGAAATGGCACCGGAACGAAGGTCTGAAGCATGTGAAGGTGTCAGTTTGGTGACTGTTGGGGTGACGGCATGAGTTGCAGATGTAGGAGAGAAAGAGAGAGAGAGAGGTCTGAGCTTAGAAGATGGTAGCAGGAGGAGCTGAAGCAGCAGCATGTCTGGTGTTCACACGGTGGGCTGCAGAGGTCTGGGACTAGTAATGCTCCTGCTGGATACAGAATTGTGGGAGGGCGTCCTTCTGGAGACAGACTGATGACCTAGGAGAGTCCGCCCAACAGGAACACAGTGTGTGTGTGGGGGTGTTAGCTAACCTGATCAGACTCCGTGTTTTGGAGTTCTACTCAAGACACACGAGTGGAATCGCAGCTAAGCCACTGAAATGGCACCTCAGGGTGCTAAACAAAAAGAACTCTTTCTGCCCATGGCCTCCGTGTGGGGTGATGGCTAGTTGACTAGTTGGGGTGATGGTATCCCCCAATCACCAGACTGTGGAGGGGGCCCAAATGCCAGGACCAAGACGGCAGCAGAGTGCCGAGGGCATGCGGTCGCGAGGACTTGGAAGATGACTTCTTGTGATGAGTGCTGTCCGGGGGGCCACGGCCATGCAGAGGATGAGGTGATGAAGGACTCCACTGGGGTGTGAGGGCTCAGGCGGAAGCGCGGTGACGGCCGCTTCCATCCCGGAGGAAGGAAGAAGCAAGGGGCTTTGGCGACAGCTTGGTTGGTGGGAGGTGGGGGGGAGTGGGCAGTATATGGACTGAAGGCTCTTCTGCGTTCTGGGTTTTATTTCCGGGGATGTTGGGAGAGGCGGCCCATTGATCACTGAGGGACACGGGAAAGGCCAGGAAGTGGCTGAAAACTCCTCTAAGTCCCCCATGCAACCAGTGTGTCGTGTCATCTGCTGCAATTCGGAGAGATTCTAAAAGCTCCACACACGTCGTTTTCATTTTACAGCCCGGGGAAATGGTCTCAGAGAAGTTTGATAAGTGTACACACATGTATGCCTGTGCCACACACTTGCACACACACATACACACACATCTGCCTGTACTACACACACATGTACACACATGTATGCCTGTGCCACACATATATGCACACACATACGTACACACACGTTTGCCTGCACCACACACACATGTACACACACATACGTATACACACATGTATACCTGTACAACTCACACATGTACACACACATGCACACACATGTATGCCCGTATCTCACACACACACATGTATACACACATCTGCACACAATTTTAAATACATTTATTTAATGTGTGTGTGTGTGTGTGTGTGTGTGTGTGCCTGTGAGGATGCAGGTGCACTCTGTGTGTGTTAGTGAAGGGTAGAAGGGACATTGTGTCCCTTGGCCGGGAGTTACAGGCAGTTGTGAGCTGCCACGAGGGTTCTGGGCACTGAATCTGGGTCCTCTGCAAGAGCAGACAGTGCTCTTAACAGTTACTGAGACATCTCCCTAGCCCCACAAATTTGTAATAAAAGAAATAATTAGGACACTTAAACTTTACCATTCCCATCTCTGTGAGTGGTGCTTAGTGCGTCACGCATGCCTTTAAAGAACCTTGTCAGCATCATTAAAACATTTAGCACTAGCCTTTAATTTACCATTACAGGGGTTTAATTATAATTACATATTAATTGCATGTTAATTGCAAAGCATGAGTGGATGACAGCTTTCTCCCACAAGGGGTTAACAGTGAGCCACTTCCTGCTAGAGCAGCTTGTCTAAAAATAATAATGTCCACTTCCTGTCTTAGGGTTTCGATGGCTGTGAAAAGACACCATGACCATGACAACCCTTGTAAGGAAAACACTTACTTGAGGGGGATAGCTCACAGTTTCAGAAGCTGAGTCCATTATCATCATGGCAGGAGCGTGGAGCTGGTTCTCTGCTCAACGACAAATGCAGGTGAAGCTCCCCTCCTCCCCCCACACAGACAACGGGCAGCCCAAAGCTTGGCTGATGTGGCAAAAGGTCTGCAAACTAGCATAGTTGACTGACATTCAGTGGCTCAAGTCTAGCAGTACAAGCATTCTTACTATATTATAATCTTTTTTCTGTATTATGGTCTTGACAGCTATAATTGGACATGCATCAGGATTATATTTACATGAAAGGCTGTTGGCTTTCTTTTTTTCTGTATAGTGCCAAGAGAAGGATGGGAGGCAGAATAATTTATTTTCAGGGTCTTCTGATCAACAGTGTTAAGTGGTTAAGATATATTCCGGGGCTAGATTACTGTATCTTAAATCCTAGGCAATTTACGTTTATTGTGTTTAGGGGTCACCTAAGAAAATAGTGTTGTTACGAGATGCTTTTTCCTTTGCTAGCCGCTTTGGTTTATCCCCCTCCAGTCGCCTGGGCTCTGCCGCGCCAGCCTGGTTCTAGATCCGCATGAGTCCCAAATAAACACACAGGAGGCTATATTAATTATGAAACTGTTGGCCTTGCTTGTCTCTTACTGGCTAGCTCTGCCTTAAGTAATTACCCCATAATTGTTAATCTAAGTATGTTTCTTACAGGAGAATAGTTCCCGGCTTCTTACCCCTATGGCGTCACATGTCGACTCTCTTGTGTTTCCTCTTCCCAGAATCCTCCTCGACTCCTAGTCCCTCCTATCTAGGTTTTCTATTGGCCAGACAGTACTTTATTGACAAATGCACAGGCAAATAACAGGACTTCCCCAATATAGTGTGAATAAATATTTCACACATCCTTTTATAATAGTTTTTCATGGAAATTTTTACCAAGATACATACACACACACACACACACACACACACACACAAATAATGCATACGAGGAAACAAAATTAAAAGGTGCTAGTGAAAACAAGGAAAAAAAAAACCCCTATTTCTTCTTAGTGGAAGCTGTTAAACTAGCTTTGTCAGTATAAGTTTCGCTAAGTTTGGCAGCACAGGGAAACCATACTACGATTGTGCAGTCATAACAGGAGGACCTGATGGATTACATTACTGCATGGTACTTTTTTGCAGCCCTTCCTGGTGAATGCAGCCTGGTTGATGAACAATCGTTTCAAGGATCTGTTCAGAGTTAGAGAGGGTGTACAGCCTTAGTTTTGGGGTGCTACAGGGGCAGTGAGGCAGGAGAGGAGAGCTTCTGGGGATGATGGCGGGTTTGCCCTGATCTCCTGGAGATCTTAAGGGCCACAGTGTGTTCTTGACAGACTATGATCATGAGAAGCCCATGGCCCCGGTTAGAACAAGCCTGAGTTGGTAGCAGTAACTGGAGGGAGTGTATGTCTTATGCCTCCAGGGTATGAGAAGAGAAAGAAACATTTAAAGCCACAATTGCCATTTCCGAGACACAAATCTGGCAGCCAAGCAAGGTGACGTTTTGTGTCTATGACTGGAGCGGAAGTTTTCCTCCCGAACGAAGTTCATGTGTTAAAGGTTTGTTTCTCCCTGGCTGGTGAGGCTACTGGGAGCTGGTGGGCTTCTGAGAAGTGAGAGACCCCATGGGAGGAAGTTGGCTTGTGGGGTGTGCCCTCGAAGGAAGGCAATATTGGGACCTTCGCCTCTCCATCCCTTCTCTGTGTTTTCTGACTGTCACGAGGTGAGCAACTAAGCCCTACTACACCCTCCACAGACTTTCCCTATGGTGTCCCACCTTCCACAGACACAAAGGGAGCAAGCCCAGCAGCACGGACTGACTCTTTTTGAAGCCGTGAGCCCAAGTGTGTAGTTCCTTCTTTTAAGCTGGTTGTTTCAAATGTTTGCCATAGCGATAGGAACCAGACTAACAATACAAGCACAAGCCAGGACGACCTACGGACTTCTATTTTAACACCCGGCACTTAAGTTTCTATAGAACCTGCTTAGGGCCGGGCAACTTTGTTCAAGAATTTACCAGGAGAATTCAAAGTTCTACCCTGAATGGCGGCGGAAGAGAAAGCAGCCTTTTCACCCATGGAAAGTTTTAATCACAGGTTATTTATCACCGAAAGATGCTGCAGTTAGTGAGCCGGGTGGGAGATCTGAGATGCTATCATCAGCCAAGGCTGTCCAGATTTAGACGTGAACGCTGGGCTATCATCAGCTTCGGAGATGTGGAAATCTGGACATCTAAGACTGGAGGTAGCAGTGGGCAGGAAGAAACTGACACGCACCCTCTCTCTTCTTCCTCCCACAGTCCCATGGAAGGGGAAGAGCTTGTAGCTGTGCTGACGCAGACACAGAGGAGTCCAAGCTGGGGGGTTTACTGGAAAAGGAAACCCCAGAAAAATCCTGACCCATCTTACATCCTTTAAAGCTGCAAGCGTGGCTACCATCCAGATCCTGCCTGTGAAGCATGGCGAAGAGGGGACTGTCATGATGGAGAGACCGCCAACCCAGATGCAGCATTTGCTGAACTTGGTTCCATCTTCCTGGCATCTGGAACCCCCTGGAGGAGACCACACTCCATCCTGGGACACAATGCGCAGGACCCACTCTTTGGCGATGGTGGTGGCTGTGGGAATTCTGGGATGGAAGATAGCAGCTCTAGAGTGAATACGCAGGAAGGTGTGGGGAGGACTTGAAAGGCTTTATTAGGGACTTCCGCCTGCAGTCACAGAGAGGCTTTCTCTGGAGTGATCTCTGGGGACATGATTCAGTGACCCTCAGCTGCTCTTGGTGCCACCGTGGGAAGTGAAGAGGACGGTGAGGGAATGGCTTTGGAGACAGTGGCGGCCACTGAACAAGGACATAAAATGTTAGTGGATGTGCTCTTAGGAACGGTATATGCCAAGGGGGATGTGAGCTTCTCTGGTTATTCAGAGGAGCAACAGTTGTGTGGCTCCCCAGAGGTGGTGGATATTCAGTGGCCATCAGAGTAGAACGGTGAGTGCTCTTATTTTCAAAATACCGACTGAGTGTGGCTTATCCAAAATGCCCCGAGGCAAAAAAGATTCAGATTTTAGAGGATTAAATTTTTTTTGTATCAACATGGCAGATATCTTAGAGAAGAAACCCAAGTCTGCACACAAAGTATATCCGTGTTTCACATGTGTGCGACACACATAGTCATCAATAAGTTTATTCAATGGGGCTTCAGCAGTTTTGCTCAGGAATTATAAAGTTCCACGCTGCATAACTGCTGGTGTGGAATTGTGTTAATGCTCAAAGGTGTTTTGAATTTGGAAACATTTATATTTCACATCTTGGGATTAGGACCTTCAACCTACATACGGCTTTGAAAATAGATCCTGCAAAAACTCTGCCTTGCCTAAAAATGCAACAGATCATGAGACAGTGGTCCCAGACTCCAGAAGAGGATGCACTGTTCCTGAAGTCAACAGGCGGCTGTGAACAGGCTGTACATCTAGCTTGTAATCCCTCATGTGTTTTCTTAAACCCAGATGGACAGAAACGGAGAAACAACAATCGGCGTCCTGCACCCTGAGGACACCCTGAGGATGCACCCTGAGAAACACATCCCTCTGCAAATGTCTGAGAGTGTCCTGCTGCAAACCTCGGTGGTGGGAGTCAGTTTTACTTAGAGCAGCCAAGAGATCCAGGACACAGCTCTCTGAGGCAGCCGCTGACACACCACACTGTTAACACAATAAAGGCATTTGTTACACAGGTAGGAAATCATCCTTTAAAATAATGGCAGTTGCCGGGCGTTGGTGGTACACGCCTTTAATCCCAGCACTTGGGAGGCAGAGGCAGGTGGATCTCTGTGAGTTCGAGGCCAGCTTGGTCTACAAAGTGAGTTCCGGGACAGCCTCCAAAGCCACAGAGAAACCCTGTCTCGAAAAACCAAATAATAATAATAATAATAATAATAATAATGGCGGTTAAGGGTGCTTGCTGCCCTTGGAGAGGACCCAGATTCAGTTCTCAGCGCCGTATGTCCCCGTTGCTGGGGACTGTATTTCCGAGGTTCCTGTTTTCACCTGCCTCCGAGTGCACCATTTCTGTAGTGTGGGGACCTGACTTTGCAGATTAATAAAAGACCCACTGTGCAGGCACATCGCATACTTTACCGTGTTCATTTCTCATGGCAGTTGGGACTCAAGTGTTGTCGTCACCACGAGGACACCAAGGCCCAGAAAGGGTAAGTCGCTTGCATGCACCAACTCAGCTGGTGAGGGGGCAACCCCCCTGGCGCCGTCTGAGAGTCACCTTGCTCTAAAACCCCATGCTTCTTACATGATGCAACCCCTGTGTGTCACTCCTTGGCACCCCAGGATCTCCGGACAGAGAGGTACAGGTAGCACGTGGAGGTGCGTGTGTGTGGGGGCACAGGATGTGCGGGTAGCATGCCACGGTCCCACCCGCCTCCCACGGCTGACAGAAGTCACAGCAAGGAATTCGTCTCTAGAGATCAAACTGGCCGTCCATCCAGCCCCCTTTCCTGCCTCTCTGCTCCAGTTTGAGTCAGGAGGCTCTGCAGCCCCAGGCGAGCAAACAGGGATGCCTATTGAAGGCGGATGAAAGCATGCCAGCTGACCCCAGACCCGTACGTGCCCCAGAGCGGCAGAGTTAATGAAGCAAATGGCCAGGTGAGGTCACAGACCGAATTCCAGGCGTGTTTTGCCCACACCAGCTTAAAGGTCTCCTTGTCAGATTTATAGACACATCTGAATCTCATTTCCAAGACTCCAGTCTCTAAGCCTTGAGCTGCTCCTGCCCTAATGCTTTTCTGCTGTGGCCCGAGGAGCAAGCGGGTGTGGGGGAGGGGTGGTGTCCGCCTTGTGATGAACGTGCATCTCTGCAGTCTCTAATATTTGCTTAGAAGCAGTAGGGATGTTGGTGTTTTAGGGAACGGGATGCTAATTTCTTTGGAAACTCTTCTTGCATTTAACGCCACATGTTCTATGGGGCGTATGAATTACCCCTGCCACACTTGAGCCTGCCCGTTGTTGCTAAAGGCAGGTGAGGTTTTTGTGCCCTAAACAGCTGGTGGGTCAGGACCAAGGCAGGTCCAGGGGGCCCTGGGAGTAGCTGATTGCAGTTCTGGGTCAGGTAGAGCAGGGACAGGAATTCCAGAGGCTCTAAAGCTCTAGCTCGGTGCATGTCTGGGGACATAAAGGGAAGACGTCGAGCTTAGTCAGAGGTAGGGCTAACAAAGATGCTGGGAGCCAAACCCAGCCAGTTAACAGGTCCTGGTGAGGGAAGGATGAGCCCAGCATGATGACTGGGAGAACCTTGCAGCCTGAATTCTGTGTATTTATACAGAATTCAGTAAGCAGGGATAGATTCATGTTGTTCCAAAACAGATCATATCCTTTTTGGACATGAGCTTCACTCCTCTTTTAGTCATCATTGATAAACTGTGAAAGAGCAGAGTTATCTTTTACTTTTATTTTCCTTCAAGTTTAATCATCATTGGTCAGCAGTTATCTTTTAGAACCATTTTTCACTCATCAATCCCATAACCCAATTTTTAAGAGTCTGGAGGCACATGACAGCCTGTTCTCAGGCTGGTACCTCTGGTTGCTTCAAGAACTCTAGACCAAAACAAAATTACCAAACCAGCCTGGACAGACTGCCGTGTCCCAAGCAGTGTACTGTTAACTCTCAATGGTCAGAGTGGCCAAGAGAAACCCTCAGGCCGAAGCTACTGTGGTTATTATTCAAACTTGCGGCATAATACAGTGCTTACATTTCGTATCTTTATAGAATTTGTCTATATGTCTAATCCTGGCAACCTGTGGTTCCTTGGTCCTATGACAGCACAGTGGCCCTGCGTGTGTGATCTGAGCTGTGGCCGACTCCTCCAGCCCACCGAGCCTTGCTGACCTTTTCGAGTTTACTTTGTTTTGATTATCTTGTTCCTGTGCAAGTACAGGGGCAGATGTTTCAAGGGTGTCTCACAGCCTCATAAAGAGACCCCTGGCTTCTTCATGGTTGTCACAGCCTCTGAGGCCTAAGGAAGACTTTCACGTAGATAAGGACATCTCTCTAAAGCGGGGGAGTGGGGAGGAGATAGCGTGTTCAGGACTGTCCTGGGAACCTTAGAAAGCAGTACCCCTGGAAGAAGGCATAAATGATCCATAAGAATTTCCCATCAATCCGATATCTCTAAATCGTTCAAATATTAAAAGTTCCCCAGGTATGCAACAGGCAGAGATCAGAGAAAACAAAATTTCCCTCGTGGTTTCTCTTGACTGGCAAGTATTTTGTTTATTTCTTGTACCAAGGGAACCCACTTTTACAGAAACACATTATTTTTTTCGTTAGCAAAGCAGAATTTTTAGTTTACCCTTTTCTTATTTATGTTACTATATTAGCACTTTTTTCGTTTTTTTTTATAGAAGGTCAAGTTTGTTCCAAAGGAGCTGTACATCCTACATCCTTTCCCTCCCTCCCTCCCTCCCTCCCTCCCTCCCTCCCTCCCTCTCTCTCTCTCTCTCTGTCTCTCTCTCTGTCTCTCTCTCTGTCTCTCTCTCTCTGTCTCTCTCTCTCTCTCTCTCTCTCTCTCCTCCTCCTCCTCCTCCTCTCATTTGAACACCAAACTCTCGGCTGTCTGAGATGGGAATACAATGACTGAGCTTCAGAGAAATCCCTGGGTGATGGGTTCTGCTGTCAAGTAGTCTCCTGAGGGCCAGGCTTACAAGTTCTGTTCTGGAATGGAACCGAGCCCAGAGTTAGCCTGCAGGGTTGAGCACAAGGGCGAGTGATCCTCCCTAGAGCTGCAGAAGCTGTGGTCAAGAGATCAAGTTGATTACATTGGCATTTTTCTTTGGAAAGTTGCAAAGCATTGACATTAAAATATCCTCCCTGTTAATTAAGGGTTTAATATAGCCGGCGTAAAGGACATTAATGAGCACCACGGCACCCTGGCTGCTGAATTAACGGCTGAGCAAAAGGGTCCCAGACTCCGGGCTTATCTGCCATCAGGCATCTCTGAGTTGGCAGGAGAGCAAGCTGACAGAATCGCTGTGGAGATGATTGAGCTTCTCAGGCAGCCTGTGTTATTTTAATGAGAGTGGGATACTGAGAACATGGTGCATTGACCAACTGGACGCATAATGAAGGTTGTTCCTTCTCCCCCCTCTCTTCCCACCCCCTTCAAATGAAGCAATTATTCCGCTGACCTCGGGAACTGCATTTCAAAGAGGTCTGAAGACAGGCTTAGACCTGCCGCTCCGTGAATTCTGTGGTGCCCAATTACTGACCTCGGGAGTCAGCATTCTGGAGATTAGAGTCACAGGGCGTTCGCTTCACAGGCTCACTTCTAATAATATACCTTCCCATGCGGACACCATTAACCTGCCTTTTCCAGTTAGCCAATAACGCTGGGCTCAGGGCAAAATTGTTATCAGCTCTCCAGGGGTCAGGCCCCCGCTTTAATTAGAAACAGGGACATCTGCAAGGGAAAGTAATAAAATCTGACAGTGAAGGGAGGCAAGGTGAGAAGTCACTGGGTCTTGGGACTTGCAGGAACAATAATTTTTGGAGACTTAAAGAGTCACCACTGGCGTAGGCTATCTGAAGTCCGGAATCTCATTTTCCTGGTTAGTTTATCCCTAAAAGCTGAGTAAGTGGTATCCTTCATGGGGATCACACTACATGTCCCTGGGTATTTCCGTCAGCTTCCCATCACTGTAACCAAACGCACGATACAGTCAACAAGTAATAAGAGGAATAGTTATTTCGGCTAACGGTTTTGGAGGTCCCGGCCCATGCTCCCTTAGCCCTGCGGCTATGGCCCTGTGGGATGGAAGGCAGCCCCTCGCATGGGGAGCACTGGGGGATCTGGTTTACCTCGTAGAGATAAAACAGAGAAGAGTAAGGTGGAATCCCACAGTCCCCGCCCAGGACATGTCCCCAGCACCTGAGGCCCTGACTCTCAGTTTCCGGGACTCCCCAAGCTTTGTTCCCGGGTGAAGGACTCATCCTTAATTTTTCCAAGCCCCCAAATGACACTGAAATGGAGCTATAGCACGGGCAGTTCAGCAAAAAACCTTCGCCTGACCTCCCAAATCTGGCGATTTGAATTGTTCAGCCGAATTAAGTAAAGGCTTGCTGCACGGGAATTTGGCAGGACGCTGGCTCCCCCCCCCCCCCCCTGCCCAGGAACTGTGAGAGACTGAGAATCCCCCCGAAGCTGGGATCGATCATTCTCCACATATAGAACCATACAGAATGATACAGAACCATACACAAAACAATACAGAATCATACAGATTGATAGAGAATGGTACAGAATCACACACAATGATAGAGAGTGATACAGAATAGCATGGCACCCTAAGTAAAGCCTCTGTGTTTACGATCTCATTCTGCCTGTATTCCCATTCCTTCCTCCTAACCCGTCCCCTTTCTTTCCTCCCAGGAAGACTGAATCTGTAGTAAGGTTGGTGTCCTGCCAGCTGCTTCAGCCATGAGTGACTGTTAAGGGATGCTCAGACTGTCTTTGGGATTTACACACAGTGACGCATCCCATGGAGACATAGAGTGGCTTTAGTAGTCCACCTATCTTGTCTGGTCTCTGACAGCGCAAGGTATCAGCCCCACACTCTGTATTTTACCCTGGTTTATCTTTCCTCGGTCAGGAATGAAAGAGCTACGTCAGGAGAGGCCTTCACTTTCAGCCCCTGTTTCCTCAGCCCATTACCTTCTCGTTTCTTTTCTTCTCACTGGGTAGAGCAAATACTCTCTGGAAGCTCACAGAGTACACATGCTCCCCCTGGGCATTCGTTTGTTGAACTGCTCAGTTCTTCATGGAAAACAAGGGGGATGATATGGTGTTTCTTCTGGGATCCAGTCTGTGGACACCCAGATGTGAGTTTCACAGAACTGTTGTTCCACGTCACGAAGTATTGTTCTCGAAAAAAATGTTTCCAACCGACGGCCGGTAGATCGTACCTGTCATCTCAGCCCTTGGGAGGCTGAGGCAGGAGGATTACCATGAATTCAAGGTCAGCTTAGGGTTATATGGTAAATGGAGTTCTCAACTGGTCTGTAATAAAAAGCTGGAGTCAGATATAAAGGGAAATGCTGAGAGATCAGAGAGAAGGAACAAGCCACAGCCGCACCTTACCTCCTTAGTGTCTCAGCAGACAAGAGAGCGATTTCCTGTTTCTCCCTGCTTATATCCTGTTTCTGCCCAGCTACCCTACTTCTTGCCTGTCTATACAGACCTTCAGAGCTCTATGGTTAGCTAGTTGCAAGCTCCATTCTCTGACCCCCAGGAAGGCTTTATTTGTACACAAGATATCATCACACTATACAGTGAGTTTCAGGACAGCCAGGATTGCAGGGTGAGACCCTTCATCTCTCCCTCCCTCCCTCCCTCCCTCCCTCCCTCCCTCCCTCCCTCTCTCCCTCCCTCCCTCCCTCCTTCTTTCCCTCCCTCTTGTAGGCCATACAGTGACACACATATCGCTGCTTTGATCCAAGGAGGCCCATGCCTTCTTCTATACTCATACTTAGTATATGTTTTTATGAAGTTAATAATAATTTTCCATTTTTCCTTTTAAGGGATGAGATATAAATGTTCAGAATCGGAGGCTGGAGGCATGTAGGTGGGAGAGTTCCCCAAACTGCTATAGGCATCATACAGAAATCTAAAAGGCAGCAGGCCAGCAAAACGTCCACATCCATCCCTGCAGGTCTGTGCCTTTTTTTTCTCACAGTGCTCAAAGTGTGATTCCTTGCAATCGTTTTTTGTTTGGTTTCAAGATAAAGCTTCTCATTACGTAGCACAGGCTAACCTCCAATTTGCATCCATCCTTCAACCTCAGCCTCCTGAGTACTGGGACTGCAGATGTTGGCCACCATGCTGGGCTCTGTGATAGTGTTGAGTAAAGTGTGGTTTTTATTGTGCATTTTGTGTTCTATTAGGTAAGTTTTGAAGGTAAGAACCTTGAGGGGCTGGGGAAATGGCTCAAGGGTTGGAGCTAGCCCTGTTTTTACAGAGGACCCAAGTTTGGTTCCCAGCACCCATACTGGGAACCTTTGAACAACCTGTCACTCCGGCGCCCTTTTCTGGACTCCTTGAGCATTGCACTATACTAAGCACACACATGCATATACTAAGCACACACACATACATATGATCAAAAATAACAAAAAGACAAATCTCAAAGATAAAAAAGGAAAACAAGACTAAAATTTTATCATCTCTGTGTCATCCATCTGAATGCCTGGTTATTTAAGTGGTCAAACTGCATGAAATAATTTGCTCATGATAATTACTGTCAATAATACATTTTTTTTAGTCAGGACCTTACCTTCTGTGGTGGTTTAGTTGTCAACCCAACACAACCCAGATTCACCCAGGGAGAGTCTCCATAAGGGATCGTCTAGATCAGGCTGGTCTGGAGGCACGATTGCTTTGATGGACTCCCGAAGACCCAGCCTGAAGGGTGGTGGCACCATCTGGTGTTTGGCCCTGGGTTGTATGTGGGTAAAGGAAGCAAAAGGAGCGATAAACACGCATGCTCTTGTTCATTTCTCTCTGCTCTTGACCCGGCGTGCCTCGCTGCCTCAGTCCCTGCCTGGACTTCCCCGGAGTGCTGCACTGCAGACAAGACATATGATCTGGATGACCCTGTCTCCCCCAGGAGGCTGGTCGTGAAGGCATTTTCTCACAGCAACAGACATGAAACCAGGACAAGTGGATCTGTTCCATTCCTACCTTTCTGCTGTCCATTGTGAAACTCATAGGGCAGGCTTCATAATTATTTCAAAAACACAGACTTCCGTACAAGTCTGACAGAAAGGCAGACTTAGAGAAAACATGTCTGCCTTTGCAGTTTGGTCAGCCTCTTGAGCCACACGGTGCCTTTCATGAGGGTTGGAGGAGCTGGCTCGTTCCCCTGAGTGTATCTTACCTTGGAGACCAAATGTGGGAGGCCCTGACAACTCCTTCAGCCCCTTCCTGTTTATCCGACTGTGCTGAAGACAATGCCACATTCTTAGTAGACATGGGATCTATGTTTAGATAGTTAATGCCTGGGTTTTTAGTGACTGAGGGAATAATATATGCACTTGTCAAAATGGCCACAGGAGAGGACTGGGCAGAGCAAAATCTTTTTCCAGGGTGCTTGCACACCCGCTGTCTCTGAAATCTAAGGTAACACCACACTGGGGTCTTCACTTTACAAACGCTTCCCTGGTCAAAACGTAAAACACCTACTGAGTCTCCATAGTCATGTTAAAGCTCTCATAAGTCGTCTGTGGGACAGATGCACAGGGCATGACTAGTGCTTGGATCCAGCAAACAGTCGACTCCTGAGGTTTGGTTCCTGTTGGGGAAGTCTTTTGTCAATAAAGCACTGTTGAGCCAATAGGAATCTAGATAGGTGGGACTAGGAGTCCAGGAGGATTCTGGGAAGGAGAAACACAGGAGAGTTCGAGATGTAACGCCATGGGGTAGGAGGCCTGGAAATTTCTCCGGTAAGAGACATACTTAGATTAACAATTATGGGGTAATTACTTAAGTCAGAGCTAGCCAGTAAGAAACAAGCAAGGCCAACAGCTTCATAATGAATATAGCCTCCTGTGTGTTTATTTGGGACTGATGCGGCTCTAGAACCAGGCTGGCGGGAAGGCTCTTATCAAAGGAAAATGCTTCTCTTTATAACTGTGAGATAATAAGTCACTGAGAGCGAGTCCCACAGCTATAACCTCCCCGGGCATTCTTTACTTACCTCTCGGTCTAGTGACTGCTCTGTCCCCGGGGGTGTGTGGCCCTGGTGACCACAGGTACTTACCTGACCTATGGCTTCTTTGTGCTGACAGGTGCTCATTTCCAATTCCCAGGTCCCAAAGCAGGAATCAACTCATTTTTCCCCGTCTCAATGTGACAGCTTCTCGTCATTCGTCACACTCTTTGGTACTGAGTCGGCAGGAGTGCTGGACAGTGAACCACAGAAAGTGGGTCCCATAAGGAGCGAGTCACTCGTGCCAAGATGCCAGGCAGCCAACAAGCCTGGTGGAATTGATGCCGAGCTACCTACCCATCATGCCTTGAGAGGGAGCGGGGGAGTTGAAATTAGACAGCATTGCGCACTGTCTCCTTTGGATGCTGCTGCTGTGTGACATACTCACCCCTGTCCCTGACATTTTACGGGCTGGTAAGATCCCAGCATCTAGAGATAGTGGGCCCCATGGGTCGCTGGTCAGGAGGGAGGATCCTGGTCCTGGCATCCCTCCGGAGCCACATAGAGTGGGAGGAAGGGCAGAATCTAGTAGGTGCCCAGACTGAGATTGGGTGGGGAGAGGGAACGGTACTGACATTTCCTCTGAACTCCATTTCATAAGGGACAAAAGACAGATAAAAAAACGTTCACTTCATTTTGTTGTGCAGTCAAGCGGCGATGCACACGGTCAGTGGCCTCCACCATGCTCGGGCCCTGTGGGTGTGCGGTGGCTGGTAACTCCCAGCCCAGCATTTGTCCTATGACTCTGTACCCTTCCATGTTTTCTCATGATAAAAAGCTGCTCTTACCACCTTCCAGGACCCAAATACCGAGATCCACTCCTGTGTCTAGAACAAACCCTTGCAGAGAATGTCACTAAAAGCTAAAACGTAGGTCAGCAGGTAAGTTGGCTAATATTTATAAATAAATTGTTCAGCCCTTATTTGTGTGCTAACTAGGTCAGTAGCTGCTTTCAGACCTATACGTTTAAAAGATTAAAAAAAGGCCTTTAGGAGGATAAAGATGGGTTTGCTTCGTCTTAAAGGTGATTTCATTTGTACTTGTGCAAGTGCTTTGGCCTGCGTGTATTGCGTACCATACGCGTGCATGCCTGGTGTCTGTGGGGCTCAGGAGGGTCCGATGGGTCCCCTGCAACTGGGCTGTGGATGGTTATAAGCCCCTGTGTAGTGCTGGGAACCGAACCTAGGTCCTCCACAATAGTAGCAAGTGTTTTTACCTGCGATCCATCTCTCCAGCCTCTGTGCCCTTTGTATTCTATAGTTTATTGCAGTTTATATGGTTTTAAGGTGGACAGAACAGTTATTACAGGCTAAGCTACAAGCGGCCCCTTCATAGGAAGGGTTGTGTTTTAGTAGTAAGAGAATAAAGATGTTTTTCCTCATTATGAAACACTTCTGATGTAGGAGATGGTGTTTATCTAAAGGGCTCTGGAGGGCTCCTGAGCTTTGGGATGGGTTAAATGTGAGAGATTTTAGTGCCGCCCAATGGTTGTTTCCGATCGTGGACTACTGAGGGGACGCTGCCTTGCCTAGTGTGTCCACACTGGGCAGGCTACAGTGGAATCTCCTCACGCAGCTTGAGCGTATTTTCCAGCCACGCTGTTAGGGGACAAAAGTAGGTAGAAAGTTAGGTGTCATACTAGGCGTTCTGCAACCCAGAGACTCACGTCCAAGAGTTCTGACTATGGCTTCATCCTGCCAATCATTCTAGACATTAAGGATGAATCCTGTCAATCACTGTAGATGATAGGGTGAATCCTGCCAGTCCTTCTTGACGATAAGGATGTGCTAAGGCATGAGTGTTTCAATGTGCAATAGAAATATGAGTGTAGTCATCACCATGTTCATTCACAAGCAAACCAATTCTAAAATGCTGAGAAACATGAAGACTTGGGTTTGTTTTTCTGCTCTAGAAATTAAGCTTGCTTTCATGATAATTCTGGTGTCTCTTGGGAATAGTATGTAGATAAGAGTTGATTTATTCCTCCCCTACATTCTTCAGTTTTTGGAGAATTACTGGAGCCCTTGCTTCTTAGCACTAGTGTTTAATATTTGAAACACAAATATTTAAAATTATAAATGTGTGTGTGTACCTGCGAAGAGAGGAGTAGAGACCAGAAGTTAATGTCAGGATGTTTTCTTCACCACGCTTTGACATGAAGTTTTCCTTGAACTGTAGTCTGTTGTTTTGACCAGACTGGTTGCTCCCCAGTGGGGTGGTTTGGGTGTGTGCTGCCAAACTGGAGTTTTACATAACTTTGGGAATTTGAAACTCAGGCCATCATTCTTGCACAGCAAGCACTCTTACCCACGAGTGGCTGATAACGACATCTCTCCAGATGCATAAATGGAATTCTTGTGTTTATTTCAATGTTTCTCAACGGAGCTGGTGCGCCTCTAGTACTGAAATCACAGTGGGCATCATTTTCAAGTCTCCTACACTAGATGTTTCAGTCACCCATTGTTACGTGTACATGAAGCCAATATGAGCAAGTGAGCACTCAGGCGTAGACTATGACCCAGGGCATAGCTGGGTAGTCTGTTTCTGCATACATGGCATCAGTGGCGTATCGGAGCTACATTCCTTTTCCTTTCCATCACTCACATGCCTCGCTGATGAAGGTGAGCATACACAGGGTAGGGATGCCGCATGTTATCTCATTAGGGAGAAATCACTTATGTGGGAAGCCGAGAACCGAGGTCAGCGCTCTGCTGGTCTCCGACCTTGGCCGGAACCCCAAGAGAGAAAGTGACCCCTCTTTCCTTGCTCTTTATCTCTGCCTTTCCCTGTGTACCTGTACCACGCCCAAACGGGCGTGGTCAGTGCTACGGGTATGTGAGATCTCTCCCTACAATTCTCCTTTTAGTCTAAAGAAAAAAGATTTAGACTTGAAACAAAACTAAATTGTCTCAAACATATATAACACATATATACATACCTAAAGAAAGGATATGAAGCTCCCCAAGATAAGATTCTTGGTGAGGGTGCTTATGCTGATCCATGGGTTCAGGCTGCGTATGACAAACACATCCTATCTGTATTCCATACAGCAGCTCTGGATACTTTCAATAAGGTTCATGAACCAGGAGAGAAGATAGAACCTTATACCAAGGTGGTACAGGGTTCAAGAGAAAAGTTCACTGAATTTTAGGAAACATTGTCCAGAGCAGTAGAATTGCAGGTAACTGACTCAGATTCTAGCTTATGAGAATGCAAATCCACAATGCAAACAGGTACTTTGGCCATTAAAAATCAGATCAGCACCATTGGACGAATGGGTCTTGTATACAGCTAATATTGAGTATAAAGATCGAGATACAGAAGCTTGAGTAGGAGAGGCAATTTCTAAAGGTTTGAAGAGGCACCAAGATGCCAAATGCCTTAACCGTGAGGATATAGAAAATTGGGTAGGAGAAGCAATCTCCAGAAATTTGAAAAGAAATCAAAATGCCAGATGTTTTAACTGTGGTAGAATAGGACATCTGAGACGAAATTGTAGGCAAAGCATTCCTAGAGATAGTGCTTCTCCTAGGAATGATTCAAACAGAAGGCCTCAGCCTTCTGGATTATGTAGGAGATGTGGTGAAGGCTGACGACACTGGACCGGTGAATGTGGGCCGACCACAGACACCACTTTCTCGCTTGGGGTTCCATTGAGGTCGTGGAGACCAGTAGAGCTCTGACCTCAGTTCTCAGCTTCTAACGTAAGTGATTTCTCTCTAATGAGATAATATATGACATCCCTATCCTGTGTGTGGTCATCTTCCTCACCACCTCACTCCTGTGCTCCTGGCCTTCCCTCCTTCCACATGGTGTCTACCCTTCAGGCTTGCAGCCTGGGCTTCTCCTGCCATAGCTATCAGAAGAAGCTTCCCTGCTTCCATTGTAGAGGGCTTCTAGGAGGAGCAAACAGGGCTGCCTGCCATCACTTCTCCACCTACCCTGAGCCACAGCAGACCCAGGGTGTGCCGGGATTAGGAGGGGGAATGGCAGAATAGACTCTACCTGATGGTGGAGGAGTGCTGGTTCTTCCAGGGGGAGAACTTTGTGAGAGCGATGAAAACAGCTTGTGGATGCCCCGCAAATTGTGCCGCTTAAACTGGCCAGCACTGCTGTGGGGCAGTGACTATCCCTTGCTGTCCCCAGATAGCAAAGCAGAAGCTCTGAAAGCCAAACGGCTGACCAAGAGAGCTCACAGCCTACAGTCGGTCCACGCCCTTTGGAGGATGCGGGATGTGGTCATGAAGCTGGCAGGTGGTCCACACCCTTTGGAGGATGCGGGATGGGGACAGGAAGCTGGCAGGTGGTTCATGCCCTTTGGAGGATGCGGGATGTGGACAGGAAGCTGGCAGGTGGTCCTGCCACACTTGATGTATAAGGGCCGAGACTGCGTACTCCCTCACGGATAATTAGCGAGCTTCTTCTGTGAACACAAGATATCTCAGCACTCCACATTAGAAACCACGGAAGTGACAGGCACGGCCGCCCTCCCTCGTCACCTGGGATGTGTTGGAGATGATGTTGGTGTCAGTAAAGCTGAGAGTAGAGCCACACACTTGAGTGTTTTGTGAGGGTTTACGGAGAAGGCAGAGGACGAAGCCTGTGACAGCCTGCGTGTAGATCTGAAGGCGGACATCCCTGCTCTGTAGCTGGGTTTGCCTAAGGCCTCTCACCCTGCCTTCTGCATCCTGGTGAGAGAGGAGCTGCACCCCTGTTGTTCTCTAACTCATGATTTGGCTCTGGGCTCAGCCCTCAGGATTCTCTTTACTTTGCCTCTGTGTTAGCCTGAATCAAGTCAGTTCCCTGGCTTTGCCTTTGGAAACCCACTTCCTATGAGCACCCCAGCTTCATTTTTGCATATCTGCATACAAACTCTCTGGGTCAAAACATATGTATTAGTTTGAATTTTGCAAAGTCTGCCAAATGCCCCCTGAAGACATTTTTTTATCAATTTATAACCTTCCACCAATGCAGGAGAGGTCTGTTTCCCATCTCTGCCAACCGTATGATTTGGAGTCCTTTGATCTCTGCCAAATTAGTCAGTGAGCCGTGCCACCATGGTGCAATTAGCATTTCCCTTATTAGGAGTGATGTCTTTTCATGTGTTTGAAGACAGGTTGCATTTCCCTTTTCATGAACCATCTGCATATATTGTTGCCAACAGCTTTGTGCTAGAATATTTAATTTTATATAAGACTCACTTCTAACAGCATATTTTTGGTGTTAGGAGAATGAAGATTATCTTCATATGCACATTTTCTAGATTTTTGCACATCAATTTGCCTTCCAAAATTAATATATATATTATATAATATATAAATATTAATATATACACACATATTAATATATAATACATTAATGTACTATATATTAATATAAAATATATTAATACATATATATGTATAGCCAAACTTAATTTATTTTCCTGTCTTCTGGGTTTTCTTACGCATAGATGTAGTTTCTCCATTATAAGTTTGTGAGAATCATCGGCCATGTTTTATTTTATTTTATTTTGGTTTTCATTTCTATGAACTATTAGTTTCCTCATCTACTTGATGGCACAGACTGATCAAATCAGAAGAATTTATATAAAAATATATTGGTTTGACAGACTGTTGCTCTGGTCTGCATCCCCACATGGAAACACTTGGCTGGAGACGAGAGACGATCCTGACCTCAGGCAGGGGCAGGAGTCTCCTCTCTGCCAGGTCCTACCTTTGTACTGGCTGGCATTCCAGGCAATTAAGCTTGTTCCCACTGAATTAGAGTCTGCTGTGAGATGAGGGAAGGGAGGATCAAGCTGACAAAGAAGTTGGGTTCTCCCTCCACGGTGTTCTGATTTCTGTAAGCTTCCACATGTTTGCCTGCAAAAATGGGGTGC